ATTTTACCATCCGGGAGGAGCTAGTGGGACTTCTCATGAGGGCGCCGAGGGGTTGGTGAGTGAGCACTTGGACCGGATGAGCTTGAAAGTAGTGGCCAAGCTTCTTGACGGTCCAAACGATGGCTAGCACCGTCTTCTCGACGGGAGAATACCTGAGTTCGGCCTCCCGGAGGGTTTTGCTGACGTAGAAGATGGCATGTTGGATGCCGTCTTCTTCTCGGATTAGTACTGAGCTGATAGCCGCAGGGCTAACACCGAGATATAAGTATAAAGTCTCCCCCACCTTTGGTTTGGAGAGCACTGGGGGAGAGGAGAGATACTTCTTGAGTTCGTCGAAGGCCTCTTGACACTCAGGTGTCCATTGAAAACCCGCCGTCTTCCTCATGATTTGGAAGAAGGGGAGGGCCCTCTCGGCTGACTTAGAGAGGAATCGGTTGAGGGCCGCCAGGCGACCCGTCAGCCGTTGAACTTCTTTGACGTTGCGTGGAGGCTCCATGTTGATGATGGCCTGAATCTTCTCGGGGTTGGCCTCAATACCCCTTCGGCTGACCATGTAGCCCAAGAACTTTCCTCCCTGCACGCCGAAGGTGCATTTCTTTGGATTTAGCCGGAGGTTGAATTTTTGCATGATGGCAAAAATCTCCCGGAGGTCGTCGGCGTGAGTGCTTGCCTCCTTACTTTTGACGATCATATCGTCAACGTAAGCCTCCATGGTGCGTCCTAGGACAGCTTGAAAGACCCTAGCCACCATGCGTGTGTAGGTGGCGCCCGAATTTTTGAGGCCGAAGGCCATCACAAGGTAGCAGAAGATACCTTCGGGTGTCATGAAGGCGGTTTTTTCAGCGTCTTCCTCATGCATGTAGATTTGATGATATCCGCGGAACGCGTCGAGGAATGACATGATCTCGCATCCCGCGGTCTCATCCACCAGTTGATCAATGTTTGGCAGAGGGAAGGGGTCCATAGGGCACGCCTTATTCAGGTCAGTGTAGTCCACGCACATGCGGAAGGTAGGAGGCTTCTGTGCGAGGACTACGTTTGCCAACCAAGAAGGGTATTTCACCTCCTTAATGTGTTTGATGGAGAGGAGCATAGATACCTCCTTCTTCACGAACTCCCTTCTCTCGGCCGAGAGGGGCCTTCTTCGCTGCTGCACCGGTCTGGCCGAAGGGTCCACCGCCAGGCGGTGGGTGATAACCCTTCGGTCAATTCCTGGCATATCCTCCGGCCCCCACGCAAAAACAATGGAGTAGGCGCGGAGGGCCTTGGTGATGCCAGCCCTCAAGTCTTCGGGGAGCTTGGCTCCAATCTTCAGGACTCTCTCCGGCTTGGCCGGATCGAGTATCAAGTCTTCGGTCTCCTCGGCAGGCTCAGCCCTCGGCCTGCCTTCTTCTTCCTCTAGGGCCTTGGTGGTGATGGTGTCAACTCGAAATTCAGTTTTGCTAACCTTCTTGGTAAGCTGAAGGTAGCAAGCTCTGGAGAGTTTCTGATTCCCCCTCGAGTAACCGATGCCGTTAGGCGTGGGGAACTTGAGGCAGAGGTGCCTCATGGAGATGACAGCCTCCAAGTCCTCGAGGGCAGGCCGGCCGAGGATGATGTTGTGTGCGCAGTCGAGGTTGACGACGACGAACTCCACTTCGAGCTTGGCTCTATGGGATCCGTCGCCGAATTCAACCATGAGGGTGATGACGCCCTCGGCGTCTATGCTGTCCCCCGTAAATCCGGAGAGGGGGGTGTTGATGTGTCGAAGGGACCCCCTCTCGAGTCCCAGCTCTTGGAAAGTGCTGAGATACATGACGTTGACAGAACTCCCCGTGTCGACGTAAGTCCGGTGGATGATGGCGTCGTTGATCTCAGTGCGGATGACGAGGGCATCCCTATGCGGCAGAGAACCCGAGGGGAGGTCCGCATCTGTGAAGAAGATGGGTTCCCCCCTCGGTCTCTTAGTTGGGGGCATGTGACTGACTTCCCCAATGTAAAGGGACTGTGCCCACTTCTTCCTTTGGCTTGTTGAATCGCCTCCGGTGTTGCCGCCGTTGATCATATGAATATGGCGCTTGTATTGTTGATGGGAGCCCTCTCCCTCATCATCGAGGCCCCCAATTTCTCGCTTCTTCCCCTGTGGGTTTCCCAAGGGGATGGTGTTGGGGTTCACCCATTTGTTGGCCTTCGGCGGAGGCCCCTGATGGTGAAGGGGGCCCTGGGGAAGAGGGCCCCTGATAAATTGAGACAAGTGGCCCGCCTGTATCAGCCTCTCGATGGCGTTCTTCAGCTGATGGCAATCGTCGGTTTTGTGTCCATGGTGGCGGTGGAAGCGGCAGTAGGGCTCATCAGGACCGATGGCATAAATCTCGAGGGGTGTACGGGAGTCTCGCTCAACGAGCCCCCGCTCTTCTGCATGGTCAAGAATGACGCTGACGGGATGCGTCAAGGGAGTGCGTGGGTGCTCAAGGAGGACGGGTTGCGCCCATGCCTTCGGATTATTCTTGTAACCGCCCCCGGGTCTGGCTTGGCCACCTCGGGAGCGATCGTTGTACTGTGGCTCTCGGTTGGTCGGAGGGGGAGGCCCTCCGGGCCGATTCCTGCCTCCATTCTTCTGAGAGGGGTCCGTGTTGCGGCGGTCCTTCTCGATTTCCTCCGCTTCAGCGTATCGGTCCCCCCGCTGAAGGGCCTTTGTATAATCGCGGGGGGGATCAGTGATAAGGCTCCGGGAGAAGTTACCATTGCGGAGGACGGTGTGGAAGAGGGCCATCAGGGTCCTGTCATCGGCGCCCTCGACCTCGAGGGAGGCCTGCCTCCAGCGTTCTAGGAAACTCCGAAGGGTTTCCTCCTTCTGTTGTCTCACATTCAGAAGGTGGGAGAAGTGTTTCTTTGAGCGGTGCCTCCCGGCAAACTGTGTGAGGAAGCGGTGGGCAAGTTCTTGCCACGAATCAATGCTGCCTTCGGGCAATCGGTTGAACCACTCATACGCGGGTCCCTCCAAGGTGGAAAGGAACCAACGGCATAAGTATTCATCCGATGCCCCCATCATCATCATGCTGTTTTGATAGCGGCTATAGTGCTCCTGGGGATCCGTCTTCCCCTCATACGGCTTGATGGGTTGCCCCCGATATTTGTGGGGGATTTTGGCCGCCAACACCCTTGGGGTGAAGGGTGTTCTAGTACGGAGTTGAATGAGGGGCTCGCCGGAGCCTTCGGCCAGTTTACGTTTCATTTCCTCCACCTGTGCCCGGAGGTCAGCGTACTCCGGATCTGGCCTCGCTGTGGAAGCCGTCGGGGGTGCCTGGCGATTCTCCTCGAGTTGACGGAGGAGGGCTTCAATGATTTCGTCCTTGGGGTCCTTCGGAGCAACCCCTTGGGAGTTGGCCCGGAAGGACTGCGCTTGATTGATCTGGTGTCTGGCGTCATCGGCATGGAGGATTGCTTTGCCCTTGCTTCGGGGCGGAGGTATGCCCTCGGCTCCCGAAGCGGAGGCTCCGCTCTCCTGAGGCCTGCTGAATTCCTGTTTGCCGAGGCGGTCTTGGACCCCTCGGCGTACGGGAGCTCCCCCAAGCCTCTCAAGTGCAGAGGTCCGGGGTTTCTCCTTCATCAATGGACGTTTATCCCTAGATTGGGCCTCTTGGGAGGCGGTATCCTGTGCCATGACCCCTTCGGCGTTTCCAATCCCCGGGGGAGGATTGGTGAACAGAGGGGGGAGCGGTGGTAATTGAATAACATTCCCTCCAGCGTAGGGCTGGAGGGGTGCCTGAGAGGCGAGGGCTCCGGAATTGAGAGCCATGTTCTGAACAAAGGCCGCAAAGGCAGCCTGAAGATCGATGGCCGGGGCCGGAGGGGGAACTTGGTTCTCACTCCGATCCCTCCTTCGATTATCAAGGCCGATGCGGGCATCAGGGGTGTTCTTCTGCAGCTGTTGGCGTAGGTCAGCGGTGGCTTGCTCTAATTCGAGGATGACACCGCCCTCGGGTACTAAGAGCCTGTTGGAGGCCTCAGCCCCGTTAGTTTCGCCGGGGGCTACGTAGTTTTCCTCAAGGGTCTTGGATTGGGCACGGGTGGTTCTTCCCATTTTTCGGTAAGTGTTTTGTATTTGGTAGAGGGGGAGGGTTTCTTACTTGATTGTTCTGACCTCTCAACGAGAGCACCAAATGATGGATAGTCTACCCGGGGGGTATCTTATCCGAGGGGTTATTGCGGGAATAACTTAGAGAGAAGTCAGAGCAAATAGGAGGAGAGAGAGTCGATTTATTAAATGAACTCAGCCTGTGGAGTTGAGGTGTAGATTCTTTTTTACAAGGAGAAATGGGCTGCTATTTATAGCAGCAATAAATGCGATGAGAGGACACGTGTCAGTAATCCAGCGGCCGAAGGGTCACATCAACCGGTCGGCACCGGCAGTGGTACGTTTACCGCATTGAATGCGGTTGGCGGATGCGACGTGGCATTAAATGCGGTGGTTGGCTGTCTCTAAAGGGAATCTTCGATGATCGAATGTGCTTGGCCGAGGGCTCCTTGTGTTGCCGAGGGCTCCATGTAGCCGAGGGTCCCCGTGTAGCCGAAGGCACTGTGTGACCGGAGGCATGGTTTAGCCGGGGGCTTCTCTGATGCCGAGGGCTCGATAATGCCGAAGGCTCATGTTTTTCGCCGTTTCTCCCAGTAGCCTCTTATGCCAGAGAAGGCTATTCTGTGAGTTTTGGGGCCTTCGGCCAGGGGGCCGAAGGCACCCCAGTGTGTATTCTGGGCCACTTTGAGGCTTGGGCCGTTGCATTTGGGCCGGAGTTGTTTCCTGAGCTCAATGGACTTGTGTAGGAGAAATGGGAGTCTATGGACCGGGGGTTCCTGGGCCATATACTCCATCAAGTGGCTTTCAAGTTTTAGCTTCTAATGTTTTAGTTTATATAAGTGCAGACTAACATCCTTTTAATTGTGGGAAAATGATAAAGGAGTACTAATCTCTTCTTCTTGAAAAAGATAGTACACAAACTAATTGATTTAATCTTCTACAGACTAGGTATTCGTTTCATCAAGCATGTCTACAGAAAATGCATCCATTCAACTAAATCCACACACCCCAAGCAGTGTAGTCGTTGAAAGTAATGAGCTACAAGAACAAAGTGATCAAGTTGAAAGAATAGAACCAGCTGTAGCCAGCCATGGAACTTCACAAAATGCTGAAGAAGAGGAGTTTCAAATAAAGAAAAGGAAAAAGACATCTGATGTATGGGATGATTTTGAAGTTGTCATGGTAAAAGGGGTTAACAAGGCGATGTGTACTTTTTGTTCACGCCATTTTGCATTGATTAAATCGGGTACCACAACTAGCTACAAGAGGCACCTGAAGAATTGCGTGCAGAGAAAATTGAAACTCAAGGTAAGTGTTTAAATGTTCCATGCAAGTGTATATTTTTTTTTCTTACACATAAATTGATCTTTTGTTATTTTTCCTTTGTAAGAATAAAATAGCCTAGTCTTACTAATATATTATTTCCTTTGTATATAAGGCTGTTATTAAGCAAACAGCCTGCATACCCATGGACCCAAACTTACTTATTTTGGGAATTAAAATTGGATAAATGAAATCATGGAGATGCAATAGCAGCAGCTTGTTGTTTAGCAGACTCATAGCTCTGGTCTTTTGGAATGTCAAGACCCTTGAACACCAGGCTGTCAACTCCAACTCCCAACCATTTCGGGTGTTATTGACATACATAACTGACCCCGTTATGGCTGAAGCCAACGGTGATGCCAGAAAAGACCATGTACGCCCGTTCCAGACTGCTCTCAAAGATATTTAGAGCTAGAAGCCATGTACCAACAAGAATTTCAGCACCTGCAGTTGCAAGAGATTTTGTTATTGCCCATCCGTAGCCATTATCATCATCTACACAAGCAATATATTATTAAATCTACTTCCGTATATTTACAGCCAACTAACTTATTTCACTTATGGCTTTTTGTGTAGGAACGGGAGAAACAAACCAAGTTGAATTTTTCACCGTGCGATGGACCTGCGCCATCACTTCCTCCTTTACATTCTGGAAAGTTCGACATGGAACAAATGAGGGAGTCAGCGGCACATTGGACAATGATGCATGAGCATCCTTTTAGCATTGTAGAGGAAGAAGGATTTAACCTCATGATGAAACGAGGAATGCCCGAATGGAAAAGAATCGGTAGAAACAACCATAAGGCAGATTGCATGAAGGTTTATGAGCTTGAGAAGAAGAAGTTAAAAAAGAATCTGGAAGGAATTAGTAAGATAAGCTTGACAACAGATTGTTGGAAATCAAAAACTCAAAAGATTGAGTATATGGTTGTCACTGGACATTGGATTGATTCTTCTTGGAAATTACAAAAGAGAGTCTTGAGCTTCATCAACATTCCACCGCCAAGGGGAGGTCTTCAAATTTCTGATTCTTTATTCAAGTGCATGAAAGAGTGGGGAATCGAGAACAAGGTTTTTACTGTCACGGTGGATAATGCTACAAGTAACGATTCTGCAATTCGTTATATGAAGAATACAATCCAAATGTCAAGAAAATTGGTTTGCGATGGAATCTTATTCCATGTTCGCTGTTGTGCTCACATTTTAAACTTGTGTGTTCAAGATGGGCTAGATGAGATTCGTCATATTATTAGTGAAGTCAAAGACAGTGTTGAATATATTAATCGCTCAGAGGCAAGGCGGATTCAATTTGCTAATTGTGTGCACCAATTGCAATTGAAAGATAGGAAGTTGATTTATGATAGCAAAACTAGATGGAACTCAACTTTTGAAATGCTAAGTTGTGCGCTAAGGTTTAAAGACGCTTTTAGGATGTTAAGTGATCGTGATTCGGGGTATACTAGCTGTCCTCTTGAAGAGGACTGGGAAAAGGTTCAAAAAATTAGTTCGGTGTTGGAGGTATTTTGGACAGCGACTCATATAGTTTCAGGCAGTGAGTATCCTACTTCCAATTTGTTCTTGAAAGAAGTCCAAAAAATCAAATCATTTTTGGATGCCAATTCAAGTCACAAGGATTCTTTCATTCGGGACTTAGTTTGCAAAATGAAACTAAAGTTTGATAAATATTGGGGCGAGTGCAACTTATTAATGGCCATAGCTGTGGTGTTAGACCCCACAAAGAAACTGCTTGCAATCGAGTTTTGTTTTCCTAAAATGTTTTCGCCGGAGGAAGCTGTACAAAATATTTCAAAAGTGAAGCAAACTTTGACTTTTCTTTATGAAGAGTATGTTGCTGATTCGGTGAACAAAGGGAATACTTCTTCAGTACATTCTGAAAGATGTGGGTCTTCAAGCAATCTTCAGACTTCTAAAAGTTCTGCCCATGTTTGGGATGACGACTTTGAATCATTTTGTGCAGAAGTCGAGACTGTAGAGCCTATAAGATCTGAACTTGTAGATTACCTAGATAAGAGTCGCCTCAAGAAGAGTGAAATTTCTGAAGAGTTTTCTTGTTTGGACTGGTGGCGTATGAACCGAATACAGTATCCAATACTCGCACAACTGGCTGCAGATATTTTAGCCATTCCAGTTACAAGTGTGGCTTCCGAAGCCACTTTTAGTGCAGGTACAAGAGTTATTGATACTTATCGTGCATCATTGTTACCTGAAACGGTTCAAGCTCTCCTTTGTGGAGAAGATTGGCTTCGACATATGTATGGGATAACGAAAAAGAAAGTAAGAAAGATTATCTTGCTTGTGTAATTTTAAATACATTACTTAAAATTTATATTAATGGTTACTTTGTATTGCAGAAAGACAAGTCATACCAAGAAATAATTCTTCCCGAGTCTGCATGATGAAAGTAGGTTACTTTCAATCTCTATACATTGTTTGATGGTTAACTTTAAATACATTTTTTACACAGAGTCTGTCGTTATAACAATGATGGAAAGAAAGCAAAACGGTAACATAAGAAAATTTGCTTCAGTCCAGGTAGCAGCTTTCTTGATCTCAACTCAGAAGACTAAATTTTTAATTGAATCCTCATATAGGTGGTTGAATGCAGGCAACAACAACTGAGAATTGCCTATGTTCAAATTCTTCTTCCACTACTGCCAAATATTAAAAAAAGCACCATCTAAGTTAAAATGCTTTTCAAAACTTTTTCAAAAGACTTGCTTTGTAAAATCTGAAAATGTAAGATTCTTTGTTTTCTCCATTTACGATAAAGTTTGCAGTATAAGTTCCCAAAATGAGGTGAGTTGGAAAAGGAAAAACCAAAGGCTACTTGCAGGTAGCTAACAAAATTAAAATACAATGTTTCTCACAGCCATCTCTATTTTCTTCTACTTCTACTGCTGCTTCTTCACCTCACTTCTTCTCTAATGTGGTTAGAGAAGTTCAATGGTACTTTTTTTTGAAATTTACTCTTTCATCCATAGTTCTATCTCCCACCATATATTATTATATATGCTGAATTGCTGATATGCATGCTTCCACTTCAGCATCTATTGTATATTGTATAGGTATTGTCTCTATTTGTTTTTTCTTTTCAAATCTATTCTTACTTGTTGTCTTCATAAGGTTCACCACTTTATGTAAAAAGAAAGGTTTACTACTTTTATTGTCTGCCTACTAAAATTTATACGTCTCTTCAACATATTTAGCCATATTTTACTCTTATTATTATGACTTATGAGTTAAAAACTTTCAAGGATCGGATGCAGGGAGTATATGAGTGCAAGCTTTGTTCTACAGAAAACCTATTTCCATTTAATTTATTATGACATACTATTAGCATTCTTAATGCTTGATTTCTGTTAAGATAATAGAAGAAACAATCATGTTTGATGTGTTGTTTAAATTTTGCAGACTGATAAGGGTAACTTTCTCTGGCAAGGGTGTTTGCTGTTAATACAATCTGGATGACAAAAGACATGGAAGTGATGGAACTTGGAGTTGAAAAGCACTTTTGAATGCCCAAAGCTTTTCTTTACTCAATTTCCTTTTTGCTCAACGAACTATAACTAGTGGTTATTTTTTTTTTTGTATTGGAGTTTAGAACAACTGTTGTGAACTTGTGATGTTAAACTAGTTATGCTATTTAAAACACATGTTTGGAATTTGGATGTGTACATCAGTTTTGTGTTTTAACATAAAAATTGGTTAGTTTATTTGATTTTTGAGCACGAGCTTGACTTTGCGAACGGGAAAATTCGAGCCTACCGAGCCCAACGAGCCGAGCTCGAGCCATATGAAATATTGACGAGCCGAACTCGATCCCTGTTTATTACGCTCGTTCGAGCTCGAGCTCGAGCCGGTAAAATTATTTCGAACTCGAGTTCGAGCATACCCCAGATCGGGCTCGGCTCGGCTCGAATACACCCCTAGTCACACGTAGTGAGTCTATTTCGAAGCCCCAACCAAAGGATAAAAGAAAACTTTGGCGGAATATAGTTCTTCCAGATCAATTTCATCCATGGTTTACTCTGCCCTTTCATTCGCAATAGATTATAAACCTTTGATGCTTGTTGTTTTCCAGAGTTGCAGAAACCAAAGAGCTCATGAATGGTATTATGTTGCCACCCAGCTTAGTGATCAAAGTATCCCTGATTTTTATTAACTTGTTGAAAAGTTGGGATACACCCGAATTTGCAAATATTCCCGAAGTCTTATGAGTCAACTTCACACTAAAAACGTAACTTTTCATTCGTACATTGAGTTTGGTAATAATTAATATAAGATGACCAAATTAGCTGAAGTTACTATGAAAGATAATTTTAATTAACTCTTCATATAATTTATAATTTTTTTCTCTAATTTATTAATAAAATGCATTTTATTTTTTCCATAAATAAGAATAATCAACCAATTGATTCAAATTTTAATTGAATCGTTCGATTCATCTAATTTCAATGTTACCAAATGTAGTCTTAGTCTTAATAACATTGAGCTTATAATTCATTAAGTTATGTGTGAAATGGCTAATTTTATTGATTCATGAAAAACAAATATTTAATATATGTTATTAATAAAATAAAAAAATTATATAAAAATAGTTAAAATGATCATATACGCCAATTCAGCCAGAAAAATAATTTCAATTTTGTTTATTTTTATAAATGTAAAATGCCGTGTGCGAAATCAAAGTTATACTACCTCCGTCCCGCTAGAAGGTTCTCATAGCAAAACGGCACAATTATTTAGGTGATAATTAAATAAAGTACTTCGGCTATATTTTGAAAAATAATTTTAATAGGTATATATTATAACGTGTTAGTATTGATAACTGTGATGTTATAAATGTATTATTATTAATATTTAATGACTAATTTGTTACTTAAGATTGTTAATTGTTTTCTAACATGGAAATGAGAACCTTCTAATGGGACGTCCCAAAAAGGAAAGTGGGAACCTTTTAACGGGACGGAGGGAATATGTTTTATCAAAAGTTGTCCGATAAAACTAATAAGTCGGAAAACGGAATTGCTAAACACGTTCTATAAATTTTGCACGTATCCGGGCCGAGCTATAGATTTTTAAGAATGAGGGTGTTTTTTTTGCCCGGGCAAATGTCCAGATTAGACTAGAGTTGATTTTCAGGTTTTTATTAGATTTTTCCCAGATCTAAATACTTCATGTATTTGAAGATTATAAAAGAATGATGATAATAAAAAAAGATTATAAAAGAATGATACTCCATCCATCCTTGTGTCCCCAAATACGTACTGGACAGTTAAAACACGAGTCTCAACACAGGTAATATTATAAAAAACTAACAAAAAACATACTTATTCAATAGAGGGAAAAACATCATGTCCATCCAGATGGCCAGACAGGATGCTCCGTCCGGCTATCGTCATTTAGGGAGGTTTCCGGTGGAATTTTTTGATGCAATTTTTTGAGCACGTGCTTCATCAAATCTAGTTTACCCATATCAAATTTCAGCTAAAAATTCAATCGGGAAGACAGTCAAATGAATTTTTTAATAAAACTGCACAGTTAATATACTCCCTCCGTCGCCCAATTAAGTTCCCACTTTCCTTTTTGAGCAGTCCCTGAATTAAGTTCACACTTCAATACTTTCCTTATTTGGCAAATTATCTACATCCGAACAGTGTCAGACAGTGCCAAACAATGTCCAAATAGTGTCAAATGGTGTTTCAACAGTGCAAAACAGTGTACTCCATAGTAAAGTCAAATTTATTTTCTTAATATGTGTGAAGTCAAACCATGAATTTAATTGGGGGACGGAGGGAGTATACAAATAACGCAGTATGTTTCAGAAAATCATTTGACTGCCTTCCTTTCCGGTTGAATTTTTAACTGAAATTTGGTATAGGTAAATTAGGCATGATGAAAAAAATGTTCAAAAAAATTCATCAAAAAATTCTACCGAGGACCACCTCAAATGGTGACGGCCGGACGGCGGGTCCTGTCCCTCCGGCTGGATAGGATCATTACTCTTCAATAGAGTATCAAGTGATCACAAAATCTCATTATTTCTGTGTGTCATTAAAATACAATGGTGGTTCTTTGACCGGTCAATGGGAAATTGAATGCCAATTAAATCTCTTTTCTGAAAGAAAACGCCTTTTTTGACCGGAAAAGTTATAGGTAAACGACTAAACGTGGTTCACGGGCAACTTGCTGACCGCTGTGTTTTGTTTGGCTGTGTTTTGTTTGGCTGAGTAAAGTAGGTAGGGATAAATCAAGTAAGCAGAAACTCAAAAAGACCCAATCACCCAATTGATGATACCTTGGAAGGATAGAAATAAAAAAAAAATGATAGCCAAGGGATAAATCAACTTTTTTTGGAAGGATAGAAATGTAAATGAATGATGAAATAGAATATGTGTTACTCGTATTAAGAAAAAATGACTTTCAATTTACAAAGGCCGTTTGACAACACTGTTTTTCGGCTTATCAGGCTTATTAGCCAACTTTTTCACGAAACACGTAACTTTTGCTTTCGCACGCTGAATTGTGTAATAAGCAGAAAAAGTATGGTTGAAGTTATTTTTCTGGCTGTATTGGCTGAAGTTACTGTAGAGGACCATTTTAAAATATATTTTTTCTTATTTTATTAATAAAATATATTTTAAGAATATTTTTTTTCTTAAATCAAAAGAATCAGCCCATGCAGCCACTTTAGCCAGAACTTCATAAATTTCGGCAGAATCAGCCAAATCTGCCGATTTTGGTGCTACCAAACATGCTCTCAATTCATTTCTCAGATGTAAGTAATTACAATTTACCAGGCACATAAGTGAAACAAACAAATAGAGATTTGATATTTTTTTTTTTTTTTTGGTAATAGAGATTTGATACTTGAAACATGAAAGTATACAAAACTTTCTTTTCACTTTTTTCATAATATATTCTAATATGTTCTCATTTTCTTAAGAACAAATTATATAATGAATGTTGGCTTAATAGCTCGATGACATGTCTTCAAATTATATAATGAATGTTGACTTAATAGCTCAATGACTTGCAAAAAAGACGTTACTAGAATGAGAGACGTTAAATAATGCCTCAAGATATTATTTCTCAAATAAAAGGATGACACCCCATCCCTGAGGGCCCCCCAACACCGACCGGACAGTACGATGGGAGGATGTAAGTTGGACCATAATCACAACCTGACAGATAGAGAGTGAGGCTCCGTCCC